AAAAATCTGGGAGCCTTATGCTACTATGACAGATCCTAACCGAAGCCCTAAATTTAATAAGCTTGAATAAAATGGTAACAATCCATATTGACAACATTTTTGAGCAAAACAAGTTCAGAAAAACCTGATTATTTGAGGTCGAAAAAATAATTCTACCCACGGCTACCCTATGGACGAGTCAAACATCCATTTTCCAAGTCGGTCTCAGACCTGGGCAGGCCACCTTTTTTTTTTTTACTTGGAAAACGAATAACATAAATACTTCGGACTAGGCTTAGGCTGAGATGGACGGGCCAAAACCCAGTAGACTTGAGCTAGGCCCATGGGTTGGCCAAGCTCAATTTACTCGGATTTATCCATACATTAAACTATAATAATGTATTATTACCTCCCTATAGGAAGGTGGCTCAAAATATCTTTAAATTTTACCAAATTTGTGGAAGTGGTATCAATATTTATGTCCCTAAATATGTATACAATGGAAATATATTTGATGACAAATCTAATAATATGATAAATACCAGTATAGTTCTATATAAATTTAATCAAATTTAAAATGATTTCGCTTAGCGTTGTATGCTATAAATTGTATTTTTTCTAGAACCGAGAAAGTACTTTGCAACCCAAGATACAAGAAGAATAAACCTACCAGTGTGAGATTTTTTTTTTTGAATCATGTGTCAGAATTATTGGCAACATTAACATCGCTCGATTGATTAACGGAATGACCTTGTGGTTCCTTATTCTTCACTGTCCCTTCTTTTTTTTTTATTTACGTTTTCATAATTAGAAGTGTGTTACCGGCTTGTAGAGTGCATTAAAACACGCCACACAGGGGCGGATCCAGGGCCCGGGCTGCAGCCCGGGGCAAGTCTATGTAGCCCCTTTAACATATGTGCTGTTTAACCTAAAAACTATGATCTTAATTAGATAAAAGTAAGCCTAGGAAGCAAGATCAGACTGTTTTGAACGTGAATCAGCAGCTCAGCCCAGGGCGCAGCCCCGTTCTGGATCCGCCCCTGACGCCACATGAGAGAAGAGTTTAACCATTCTTTTCGCTACTCCTATATTATAAGGCAGCGGGCCCGGAAACCAAAATCCAAAATCCAAACATAGCCTGCGGTGTTTTTATACTGCTTGGATCACAAGGTTGGCTGACCGAGCAACCCGCGTCGCAAATCGGATGCTGGGACACTGCGGTGTAGGCAGATTTCCAACACTTTCATCTTAGGCCCTGACGCCATGTTTAGAACATTATTTTTTTTCCTGTTATTTATGTTTTATTTAAGTAAGACCAAACTAACCTATGCTCGTTTTTCAAACAGGCTTTTAGGACCTGTCTCGCAGAGCCCCACTTCTAGATTCTTTGGCTCCACTCCTTGATTCTTTAGTGGACTGATTCTATTTGATTATGGTAGAGGAGCAAGTTGGAGAGCGGTTGAGAATTGATTAAAAATGATTCCGGTGGGTTTTGAATAAGGAGCGGTGGAGAGCAGATTTTTTTTTAGCTCCCACCTTCTAGTGTAAATGGAAAAGCGATTATTGCTTTCTTTTTACCTAAATCTGTGCGAGATTCAGCTATTTGGCCGGGGAGGAGTGATTCTCATGAAAAATCAATTATAGAGAGCCCTACCAAACATCTCCTTTAGAGCATCTCCAATAAACTCTCCATATCCTTTCTAAATGCTAGAAATAGAAATTTTGGTGAAAAACTACGCTCCAACAGCTTCTCTAAATGGTCATCCAAATATAGCTATCTTCTATTCCGAATTTTTCGCTAGCCAAAAATAGAAGACAAGAATGGCTTTCTAAAGTGCGTATGAGATATAGAAAAACTGTTGAAGAGTGAAAAGATATAGAAATCAATTTTTATGCAAATGACTCTCTAAATTATGATTTAGAGAGTGAGATTTAGAAATGCACTTTGAGATGAGACAGCGGAACGGATCCCAAATACTTAGGCCCAATTTAGAGGCCTCTAGCGAATGGGACCCTGCCTGTGGTACGTCGATACTTGCGCATATATCTAGAGCCTGTTTGAATCCCTGATCTAAAGTTTTGTCATTAAGCTTAATCACTTTAGCTCTTAAGGTTCAAATCAGGAGGTTTGAAATATCGTGTAAAGTTTAGCTAACCTTATAAAAAGATTATTTAGTTCATAAGACACAAATGAGCTAAAGTAACCTAAAATTTAGTCATTATATTTAGCCAGTCTTTAGAGACGAGATTGAAACACGACCGAAGAACACCAGCTCGCCGAAGTAGGCAACGAGAGAACAAGCACCACATGGTGCCGTGCCATGGTGGGCTCCTCTTGGGCGAGCAAGTTGCCGATTCCGACCCGGGGACGGCACGGAACGCCAAAGGGGAAGGGACGGCACGGAACGCCACGGCGGTCCGCGGGCTCATCATCATTTCGCGCTGGCCGGCGTGGGCAAAGCAACGGATGGCTGGGGTGCCTGCCGCGCGCGGCGAGGGTGCGGAGCCCGCGCACACGCGACCCTTGTCGGCCCATTTGCCCGAAACGTTCGTCCTGTTCCAGTGCCCCTCCCGTTGGCGCGTTGCCGTCGACGTCTGCCTCCTGGCGTTCACGAGGAGGGCACCGCTCCGCGCCCGTCCACGCAATCTTCCTGCCTGCCCGTGGCCGAGCCCTGTCATGTGTAAACAGCCTCCTCCGTCCAATCCATCGTACTCCTATTTATAAAAACAGCTCGTCCATCGCGCGCGCGGGGGTGCTCTGTTGGTTTGAGTGATAAGTCATAGCTAAAAGTATTGTTGATTGATTTATTGTGAGAGAAAAATACTATTCGTTGGCTAAAAAAATATAACTTAAAGTATTGTTGACTGATTTGTTGTGAGAAAAAAATATTATTCATTGATCAAAAAAATATAGCTTATAAGCGCGCGTTTAGTTCACGAAAAGTGCGAAATTTGGCTACTGTAGCAATTTCGTTTTTATTTGGTAATTAGTGTTCAATCATGGACTAATTAGGCTCAAAATGTTCGTCTCGCAATTTCCAACCAAACTGTGCAATTAGTTTTTATTTTCATCTACATTTAATGCTCCATGCACGTACCGCAAGATTCGATGTGACAGGTACTGTAGCACTTTTTGGGAAAACTTTTCGCGAACTAAACAAGGGCTAAGTCAAGTGAACGGAGGCTAAAGCATTGGTTCAATGGCTGGACAGAACACGTTGGTCGACGGTGTCCTTTCTTTATTCTGCGCACAGCACTCATGGTGCAGAAACACTGAAACAGCATGTCGGCCAGTCCGCGGAGGCGGCTCCAGGACGGTGATTCCGAGCTTTCGATCGGTCAGCCTTCTTCCAGGAAGCGTTAACAATTCCCCCTCTGCTAGACGTGTAGTGCTTGTGTTTTCCATTTGTTGATTGTTTGGTGCAGAGTTTGATTTAGTTTGGTATTAGTAATATCATTTGAATGTCAGTGCTCACGTGGGCTAGCATATTTATGTCGTTGTGGGCCTTTTTGAGATAGACGGCATGTTCGCTGGTGGGTTTCTAGGCTGATAAGTTCGTCTGGTGCTGGTTTGTTGTGAGAGGAAAAAATACTATTGACCGGCTGATAAGCCCTGGCTAAAACCAACAAACAGACCATTTCATCGTGTTTGCAGAGAATGAACACAGTAGTGGAACAACATTCGTGCACTTCTCAGATTGAATTCTTGAGCGCCAAATCCAAATCGAAGTACTCGCGCTTATTAATTGTAAAGTTACAAATAGGTTTTGCTACCTCTGTCCCAAAGAAAAATAATTATGGATTTAGTTAAAACCAAACTATTTTAAGTTTAACTCAGTTTATTAAAATAGCATCAACATTTATAACGCCAATTAGATGTAGATGAAAATATGTTTCATGACGAATTTAGTGGTAGCTGTTTATTATGATTAGTATTAGTATTTTCATATAAATTTGATCAAAATTAGCATACTTTAACAATGTTCTATAATTGCAACGCATGGAGTACCAAATAGCATGTGTTCCCAAAAAAATGGAGTACCAAATAGCAGTAATGCTCGAATGCGTGAGACTTTGGCCTTGTTTGGGGAAGCTTCGTGCTCCAAAAATTACACTTTATACTAAAAGCAGAGAAATTTCCTCGGACCAATTTCTTGAGCTTTTTAAGAAAGATTGTTTAAAAGGTGCTTTTGAAAAAGCTACAGATCGCTCAATCAGGGCCTTTACCCGATTTTGTTTAAAAATGGTTCCCTCTAGTGCTATCTTAACGATAAAAGAGTTTGAAATCTCTATCTCTATTCTAATTTTAAAGAGTGAAACGTTTCTTTTGGCCCGCTTTTCTACCTCCTAAATTTATTTTTTCATCTTTTTTTACTTTCTACTAAACTGTCCTCGTACACATCGTATCCCGTATATAATTTGGACTCATGATCTCGTATATAAGGCCCCGTTTAGATGCGAAAATTTTTAACTTTTGACTACTGTAGCACTTTTGTTTGTATTTGACAAAAAATGTCTAATTATGGACTATTTAGACTTAAAAGATTCGTCTCGCCAATTACGAGCGAACTATGCAATTAGTTATTCTTTTTACCTACATTTAATGCTCCATGTATATACCGCAAGATTTGATGTGACGGAGAATCTTGAAAATTTTTGGATTTTGGGTGGCATCTAAATACGGCCTAACCCAAATTCAGTTCAAGTCCGATTCCCTTTTTTCCCCCAAACCGCCCCAGATTGACCCATCTCCATAAATAGGCTATCCACTGGGTAGCAGAGCAGAGAAGGCAGGCAGAGGCAGAGCAGGCACCCTACCAGTCAACCACCGCTTCGTTCTCCGTTCTCCCCCCACACCGCTCGCCTCCTCCTGATTCGGATTCCCATCTTCCCCGAGCTCCGCCGCACCTCACGTCTATAAATAAGGCGCCCGCGGTGCCCATCAATTCGCGTCACCGCGTCCCGAGAGCGCGAATCATTCCGCGCGACGCAAAACCCTAGCCCATCCACCGATCCCTGTCATGGCGGCCACCACCAGCCAGGCGAGCCTCCTCCTGCAGAAGCAGCTCAGAGGTGCGGCCCGCCGGAGTTCCCGTTCATCGGTTTCCGCTCGTTTTTTTTTCCTCCTTGCGGATTGTTTGTCTGATTGACTTGGGGTTGGTTTGCCGTATGGCGATTGGCGCAGATCTCGCGAAGCACCCGGTGGATGGGTTCTCGGCTGGGCTGGTCGACGACAGCAACGTCTTCGAGTGGCAGGTCACCATCATCGGACCGCCTGACACCCTATAGTGAGTCAGATCCTCTCCATTTGAAGCGTGCTTTCATGCCTTGTCTGGATGAATTGCTTGTTTGTTGTGTCGGTGCCATGCCCTATGGACTATGAATCTATATGATGGTGTTTGTGTGTTACCGTGGACCGGAAGCCGCGATTGAAAATCTTACTATACGGGATTGATTTCTGGTGGAGGCTGGTGTGGGGCGGAATTTTCTTTGCTTGTTGATTGTTGTAGCGGGTAGCGTACTCCTACTAGTACATCAACTTGGCGCCATGTCCGGTGCCCAGTTCCATCGAGTTTGTTTGGTTCTAGGTGCGCGGCCTGCTCTGTTAATCTGCTAATAGTTCTGTTTTCTTTAAATATGTTCATAGCTGTATCAGTACAGAATCGGGGTCTTCAATTGCTTATCAGGGTCTAGGGAATTGTTAATCGGAGTTCAGGGATAAACTGTGTATATTCTGAATTGGGGTTTGTATTGAAAGATGGGCTAAAATATGCACCATAGGCATGCTGCTGGTTGTTTAGAATAGGTTCTGCATCATGTTAGGAAATGTGACTATGTATGTTTGGAGTACGTAGCAGATAGTTGCGTCAATTTATCGTTTCTGTAATTTAATATTGAATGAATTGGTGCTACTTGACCCAAGTAGAGTCACCTTAATTTTGTCAACCTGTTTGGTGCATGAGCAGAATTTTAATAGCAGACAGTCTTTCTGCCCAGGTTTGAAATTTGATTGTAGGTAGAGATAAAATACATGAATCATAATTCCTATGTGAATTCTTTTACTACTAATTACTGAAATACATTATGAACTAGAATGGTCACTGGATGCTGTAAATATGCCTTCTATTTTTTCTGTGTACGCAAAAAAACATTCGGGTCACTGATAATCTGATACTAATAAATTTGAAAGAACACTAGTGTTGGTAAATGAGTTCACTGTATGTGCACATTTGTAAATGCCTTCTGTGTTTGATAACTGTTTTATCATTCTTAAAGATGGGTTGGTTTGTATTGAGAGAGCATGCAGCATACTAGGAACTTAGGAAGTCACTTGAATAGCCTGCCACTAGCTGAAGTGTGTGGAATTTTTTGTGATACCTTAACTACATAATCAGAAGTGGTGTGCCTCTGGGGTTTTTCTTATCTGTCAGCTTTTTTCTGCTGCATATTTAAAATTGGTTATATAAAATTGAACATTTCCGATATTGACATGCTCGTTCAATTTGGTTACATTTTATGAAGAAAATTCATTTCTAATTGATAGCAAAGTCAGACTTAAAAGGTACCATGATTATTATAAACGCGTCTTAGTGCAACCAAGATGAATGAAAAGGTGGCCTGACACCAAATAAACAGGAATGTTAGACTGGAAGTGTTTATTGTGAAGTATGTTCTCTTTGATAAATCCTGATCAAGCGATAGGATGAGTAACTTATAGCATTGATAAAGTTATAATAATGCATTCTTAATTTTTTTACTGGCTGACTACTCGCAAGCTGCAGAATCTCTTGCAGCATAATTCTCCATTTGAACTAAGCGGCTAGCAAACAGCGGAGCTATTAGTTATTTGTTTTTGTTTTGTTTTTGTACTGCTGAAATGTGAATGTTCACTTTGTTGCAAATAAAACAGAGTACTGCAAGGAAAGTTGAAGTGGAACCTAAAGAATATCCCAAGGAGTTTGGTTGTGTGTGATCAATGTATTTTCAAGTTTAATGCATTCCTTGATTGATATTTTATTGGCTTCAAAGAGATGTTTACCAGTGCCGGTCTCGTCAATTGCCTGGTTACTCTAGTTGATCACATATCAATCTGAAATTAAAGTGTCAGTTCTGAATGAAAAAAATCAGCTAACACTGTGAACTACTAACAGACCTTAAACATAATACTGGTGTTTGCTGTCCTTGTATTTATCTTGAAGCATTGCATTCATGCAGTCATGTAAATAGTATTGTCTTTATCTTCTGAGCAACACGCTAATATTAATCTTTACTTTGCAGTGATGGAGGGTATTTTAATGCGATAATGAGCTTCCCACAAAATTACCCAAATAGCCCGCCATCAGTCAGATTCACCTCTGAAATGTGGCATCCAAATGGTTGGCTTTTTATTAGTGAAAATTGTATTTATTTACTTGATCTGCAGTTATGTTTTCTGACATCATGCATAATATTTGGGGAAATGCCAGTTTATCCGGATGGGCGGGTGTGTATCTCTATCCTTCACCCACCGGGTGAAGATCCAAACGGTTACGAGCTCGCAAGTGAGCGTTGGACACCTGTGCACACTGTACGGCTTCGTATACTATGTTTACATACATACCTTTTTTCCCCCATTTTTATCTTCTGTTCTCCACTACGAAGCCCTTGTTATATTGCTGAAATTTACTGAGATTCATCATCAAAACAACATTCAGAAGTTCACTGGCAGATCTGTAATCATGAATGTGGTTAATTGCCAGTGAATCATATATTGAAATATTGTCGTATAGCCTGATACAATGCTTCCCCATAACTAAGCAATTAGGAATCCTGAGCAATTTGAGGTAGAGCAGTGAATTCCTGATTTTTGGATTCATCATCAGGTCTTGAAGAGTTTGTTATATTTGCCTAGCTTCCACTAGATAGATAGAGAATGCTCTGTTTTGGTCTCAAGGTAGAATAATAAACAGAAGACTTCTTTCATGAGTGAATACTTTTGTAAGCTATCACTAGTTGTTAAGTTGATGGTTGTTATCCATTTGCAGGTTGAAAGCATAGTTCTGAGCATTATATCAATGCTCTCTAGTCCAAATGACGAGTCTCCAGCAAACATTGAGGCAGCTGTAAGTTCACCTAATAATTTTCTTTATGCTTTGCGCAAAAAAAAGAGCAATTTACTTTATACCGATTTGGTTTACTGGACCTCTACTTGTGGGCTGCTATAATATCAAATACTTCATGTTTGTGTCCTGTTGTATTTGCCACCAATTTGTAGTTGTAAAATGACAAGTTTATTTGTGTTATACGACAAGATAGCATGCTAGTATTAAAGAAGAAATCAGTGCTGAGATGTCTCAAACAAATGTCTTAGTGTCACCAACTCATTGAAAATTGAGTTCCGGGAGTTCTCAAATAACTTGTGTTACTCTTGAAATGTCATGAATTTATTATTTGCTTAATTCCGTTGGACATCTCATGCATCGATGCATCATCACTTTCATCCAGATATCCTTCTAGTGTTGCATGAGGACTTTCTATCACTACAATGTTGCAAAGTGCCTCTTTGTTTCTGAAAACCAGTTATTTCTCATGCAGAAGGAATGGAGGGAGAAGAGGGAAGATTTCAAGAAAAAGGTGCGGCGCATCGTGCGGAAATCACAGGAAATGTTCTGAAGAAAATGGGAGTACTGGGGAAGTTAACCATGCCATGTAAAGTGCAAGATTTTGCTGCCAATCTCAAATTGCTCATCTGACACCAGCATCTTGTGTATTTTCGATTTAGTGACTGTCCATTGGTGATAGTTGCCTCAGAAATGCATTAGGACATGGTCTGTTCGACTGTTCTGAAGGGTCTGTTTGTATCGTGTGGCTTGGGCTCTACTAATGTTGACAAACCTGAAGTGACCAGTTATCGTAACTTTGGTGGTGAACCTGGTATAAGCAGGCGCCATTCCTGTCAGCTAATAGTTGAGAAAACATATCGGTGAAATTGTGCATTTGTTAGTGTAATGAGGCAGTTCCATATTGTTACTTCTGCTAATTGTCTACAGTTTCTTCAATGCATTGCAGAGTAACCGACGAAATTATTGAACACAGATTTATACTGAACTACGAGTGCAGTATGAATGGCAAGGATCGTGTAAAATTACATATAAATCAATTGAGCTGAACAATTTGATGCTGCCTTTTCTGTTTCTATCCAATCACAAGAACAAAACAGAATCACTGTTGTGCCGACTATCAACATTTGATGAAACGAACAATAGACCACAGTCAGAATCACAATGTTGTGCCGAGTACCAACATTTGATGAAACGAACAATAGACCACTGTCAACGTACGTAGCTTTTCTACGACTGAATGGTTCCATCTTCCATAATCCATAAAAAATAATTTCTTTAGGGCACTTCCAATACATAAACCATCATAGTTTCTATAGACATTAATTGTACTGCCACCTAAGTGTTTTGCTGATATGGCAAGATAGTTATTGAAGAGAGCAAAAATTATAGAAACCAGATCTAAGTTAGAAACCATGTCTACACGAAAACAAGACATGAAGGGATGTGATTGGTAGAGAATAGAGAGAGTGTATGTGATTGAATAAAAAATTGTTCTGTAGAAACTATCAATTGGGACCATGGTTTCTATATACAGTGTCTATAGAAATTAATAGGTATATAGTTTCTAGGAGCACTCCTAATGCAGAAACCATCATAGCTTTTACGGACATTAATTGTACTGTCACCTAAGCGTTTTGCTGATGTGGCAAGGTAGTTATTGAGAGAGCAAAAATCATAGAAATCGGGTCTAAGTTAGAAACCATGTCTACACGAGAACCAATACATGAAGGGATGTGATTGACAGATAACGGAGAGAATGTATGAGTGTGTTTGGTTGTGTGGCCAACCTCTAGCCTGGCTCCCTAGAGCCAATTTTGGCATGTTTAGTTGTCTGGAAATGGGCTGCCTGGCTAGAACTGGCCATCCGTACTGCTGTGGCCTGGCCACGATTGAACGGCCAAATAGGCCGTTCTCCTGGAGCCAGGCCCGAGCCAACCCTCCGTCTAGTTTGCATCACCTCCCTTCTGTGGTTCCTCACCGTCCGGAACGTCGCCCTCTGCTCCACCGTGGACGCGCCGTCTCCGGCGACCCTTCCTGTGTCGTCTCCGGCGGCCCTCCCCAGTCGCCTAGGAGCTCATGTGGCCGGACCTAGGAGCTCGCGCAGCCGGAAGGGGAGTAGCCGGACCTCTTGCGCGCCGCCGGGGATGGGGGAGCAGCGACCGGAAGGGGAGGAGCTGGACCTCGCGTGGCCGACCATGGGGGAGGCATGCCGGGGATGGGACGCACACGCGGCGGATCTCGCGCCTGCGTTCGCTACCGAAGCAGCGCTGCTCGCCGGGGTGGTGCGCAGACCTCGCGCTCGCCGGCTTCATCTGCTGCTGCTCGCGTCTGGGAGGGAGGAGGGGGCTCGCCGACTTCCTCTGCTCTTGCTCGTGGCCGGGAGGGAGAGCGGGGCTCGCGACTGGGTGGAGAATGAGCGTTGCCGCAAGGGGAAGACACCAGTCGTGAACGACGAAGACGACGCGTGCGTAGCGGTCGCTCGCCGGCCTCTTGCTGGATCCGGACTTGGCAAGCTCCTGAACCATTCAGAACAACGCCCATGGAACCACGAACGAAACCCAAGAAGCCAAAGAAACCACGAACGAAACCCAAGAACAAGCGTCGTGCGTCGTGAGCGGCAGGTTGCGGACCACCGTGGTGATGGCTGATGGCGCCGTGCTCGCCGTGGTGATGGCTGCCGCGCCGTGCTCACTGCCTTTGGACTGCCCTCATGCCCGCCGTGCTCACGGTGGTGATGCCCACCGTCCTCGGCGTGGTGATGGCTGCCGCGCCGTGGCCGTCCTGCTGCTCACCAAGGATGAGCACCACCTGTTCAATGAAATCCCTCAAAGGGGTAACCCCACCAACATCAAGAAGAGGTGATTCTATGCGACATTTGCTAGCCATGCTTCGACAATATAGGCAACCAAACAACTAACGATTGGCTTGCTAGGAACATACTAAAGCTGCCCAGGCTTGATTCTAGCGAGGCTAGAAATAGGCCATGAAACCAAACACACCCTATATGATTGATAAAAAATTGTTCCATAGAAACCATCCATTGGGAACATGGTTTTATATGTAATGTCTATGAAAATTAATAGGTAAACTATATATAGTTTCTAGCATTGGGACTGCCCTTAAACACCAGTTACAAGCAGATAGCATGCTACAATTGTCAAAAGGAATATAAACTATGAACTAATATCATGCAAGCCTGCATTTACATACAACTGCAGGCCCATAAAATGTCAGCACTGCAACAGTACTGCACATCGTTACAACTCTCACTAAAGGGCCGAAGGCAGCAGGCCTAATGGGACCACTGTTTTTCACACGCAAGAGTGCAAGACTGGACACCTTGTGGCAGTTGATGCCAAAATGTTACTTTCTGCTGGGGGGAAAAACAGACACAGCAAGAAAAAAAAGAATATACTTGATCATAGTGGGATTTGAACCCACGACCTTTAGATTCGGAATCTAACGCGATATCCGCTTCGCTATATGACCATGCTTGTCTTCCACACATTTACAAAATCTGAAATGACAAAGGTATCAGAATTCACACGCTAGCAAATAGACAACTAAGGATTAGTGTCATTCAAAAGCTGAAACGAAATGTTTTGATATGCATATACTGCAAATATGGTGGCCATTAGTTATCTCACTGGAAATAAAGCACAAATGGCAGATATGAATTCCCAGTTCGCCAACAGGCTGAACTACTGGTATGTGACTATAGTACAACAACAACAAAGCCTTTAAGTCCCAAACAAATTGGAGTAGGCTAGAATTAAAATCCGGCAGAAGCAATCAAGGTTCAAGCATGTGAATAATTGTTTTCCAAGCACTCCTATCTAAGGCTAAGTCTTTGAATATATTCCATCCTTTCAAGTCTTATTTTATTGCCTCTACCCAAGTCAACTTCAGTCTTCCTATACCTCTCTTCACATTACTATCCTGGCTTATGATTCCACTACGCACCGGTCCATCTGGAGGTCTCCGTTGGGCATATCCAAACCATCTCAATCGATGTTGGACAAGCTTTTCTTCAATTGGTACTACCCCTAATCTATCACGTATATCATCGTTCCGAACTCGATCCCTATTTTAGAGTACATAAATAATGGTACCTCGCCTCTATTTTTGGTTTTGTTATGAGTCAAACTTCTCTAACTTCGAATATGTTTATAAAAAAAAAACACAAACATCTGCAACTTCAAATATGTTTTGATAGTGCATTTATTTGGTATATTATATATGTTTATATTTTTTTCTATAAACTTTAAAGTTTAAGAACTTTGACTTAGTACAAAACTAAAGTGAACTACAAATTTTGAAGAAAAAAAGGAAGTACATACACAATAAAATGATCCTAAATATGCAGCATATATAAGAGGAGACGGATTGGTCCGAGAAAGCACTTACTCTTAACAATATGTCTCCTGCATTCAGGGTGGGAATATGCTTGATTAAATGATTATTATAAACGAGTGGACGCGACAATAAGATGTACTGGAGATAAGGTATCAATCCAATCGTGTATGTAAACAAAAGAATTAACAAGATAACCAGAATCTTACTGCAACATCCAGTGAATGCTATAAGCAGTCATACCAGTATGAGTTACAGCTTTGTTCCTCCGATGAGGGTGAGCCGGTCAACTAACAAAGGCAGGCACAAACAGACAGCATCCCGAATCACCTAGTAGTTAAAGGGAAAGATCTAATATGTCAGATATGCACTGCAAATGGGAGGTGCCAGCTTTCCTATCTGGTGAAAACAAAGTGAGGTGCAGCCGGGACCGTGCGACTAAATGTGACGTCTAATTAGCAGCAGCATAAGCATCAGTGTAAACTAAATTTCAGTATAAGCAAACAGGGTGACGCCCAAGTCGCAAATCCAAATCTTTTTTGTTTTTGAAAAAGGGCCACAAATCCCAATAGCGAAGAGAAAACTATTCAAGCAACCATGGCCACTACAGGATCTAAAGATGCCTCCTAATCTGACACTAGCGTATCTGCAGTCTGCGTCTATAAGCCCGATCTGCGGAAGGGGATCCTGTGATGGGTCGATAGATTCAACGAGCCAGGGAAGATCGGATCACGGCGAAACAGAACAGAGATCTTTGATTGGTGTAGACGTAGGTGTAAGCCGCAGGGATGATAGGACGAGATTGGGGAGAAAAGAGAGACGAAGTCTGAAAGGATCGTACCGGTTGACCTGCAAAGCTGGCGAAGAGAAGAACGCTTAAGGCGTGCTGCTTGACCGGTTGAGCACCGGGCCGCCGGTGCGCTTGAACATCTCGTCGATCCCGGTTGCCAGTCGCCGTTTGGGGTGAAGGAGCCGCCATCTTTGCTGGGCAGCGAAGCTAGTCAAGCGAAGTTGGTGCCTGCTGTCTGGTGGGACGTGGCCTGCTGTGTTATTCGGCCCCGCGGTGTCTGTCGGGTGGGGTACACCCGTTGACCCCGTCGAATTTTAACTAGGTTTTTTTATTCGTACGGTTACAATTTTGTAAGTTCAGAGATCCGTCACGACAATTCTTCTCATCCATGCCATTTTATACATCTT